GTTATTTTCATCTTACACATAGATATGAAGTATTTAATATAAATTGCGTGCTATGTGTGCATATTATCTGTGTTCTTAATATCTATGTTGGATGAACAAAATATACATGTTTTATTTGATTTAAACTGTATATGTATTTTATACCTATAATTATGATGGGTAAAGATGGGTAGATGATATAGATGATGAAATAAATGATGAGAGGCCTAGATGCTTAAGCTGATTTAGTCATCTAGCGGAGTATAGATGACGACCACGTGCTATTCTAGACAATATAGTGGAACGCTGGCAGGCTCGCAACCCATAGGTGTTTGTGAACGATGTGTTCACCGGTGTACTCCATCCCCCCTCATGGTTGCCTTACTAGCATCTATTGCCGAGGAATCCCCTAAGCAGTATTGTCTATCCCGATGATGATCATTATGATAGGTCCCTTAAATTAGATACTTTAGGGACAGGAAGTGAGGATAACGGGAACGGGTAATCGGGTTGAATGATTTTATGAAATTAAAGAACTTAATTATTGTGGGTTGAAAACCTTATGTGCTCACCCGACTCCCAACCCTGACCTACTCAGTTTCTTGTATTACAGGTAGTGACCATAGAGCACAAGAGTGATGATCTGATGAGAGATCAATGGATTATAGGCCATTAGAATAATAGATGTTGTAAGGCCTATATTATTTCTATTTATGCTTATGTATTGTATTGACAATGACATCCCAACGATTTTAATATAATGAAAACACATTTCTTCGGAAATGCTTTGATAATTTACTTATCATATTTTTGGGAACAAATTCCGCAGCATATTTCTTCAAAAAGGATACTCTGATTTTCAAATAAAGCATAAACAAATTGGTCTTTTCTGGCCGAGAAATTGGGGATGGCACATCTTGTGTTGCCCATTCTTTGAGAGTCTTTTCCTGATCACCTTCTGCGCCACTCATGACTGATTTTGTTTCAGAATATGAATCAGATGATTCAGTGTTCTCAGATTTAACTGGGTTGTTGGTGAGTATTTTTTGTATGGACTTGAGGAAGGTGAGGATGGGGGTGCTTTTTGAAATAGTGAAAAGTTGGATTCAGGTTCGTTCTACAAAGGACTGCCTTGTAGTGTTGTGATCTCTGGAGGTAGGGAAGATAATGTACCAAAGAAACCAATTGATTGTTTTTGTTTTGTTGATTCTTTCTTTAGTTTTCTTACATTTTTCTCAATTTCTGGATCAAACTCTAGTGGTGTACCTATATGTAAAGATATTGGTATACAAACTATTAGCAATACCATGTCCCCGACAAATGCACCAATTTTTTAAACCGCTGTCGCGTACGATTTAAGCAAATGAAATTTCACTGCTCGAATACACTAAAATATAACACAGGGAAGCAGGGTCGAATCCTCAGTGACACAACCTAATGGTCAATGCCTCTTTGCGTAAGGCACATACTAGTTATAAAGCAGAGAATATGAAAAAGGGGATTTTTTATTATTAACTAAAACTAAAATAGTAGTAAAAATAACCAAAGAAAATTCAATAATAAAAACGAATTCAATTCTGCTGCGACTTTTCTAATCATGCAATCAGTCCAGACTCGGTTATTCAGAATGTGTTCTATTTAAGCTGGTACTGAGAAAAACTAATAGAATCTATTAATTCTCTTTTACCTAATTAGTTAACAAAAACAAGCTTTTCAATTAACCCTAACTTTTTACTGGTCTAATTAAACAAGCTCTTAATTAAATTCAAAAAAGTTGCATTAAGATCTGTGCAAAATTCCTAGAAATATTCAATACTTCTTACAAGCTCGGAAGCATAAAGATATGAAATTTCAGTTTATAATAAAGTCAAATCCAAACATAGAACCGATTTATTACTTGTTACTTATTACCAGATTGTCAAATCAAATACAGATTTCAACAACTGATTGATTGGAATGATTAAACCCTAGCTAGATGATCAAACTAACAGGAATCAAAATCAAACATTCATTAAGCACAAAACTGAAATTACTAAATAGAATCACATAATGAAAACCAAATATGATGTTTGATCACATGAAAAGTAGAAGTCTTTTTGTAGAGCTGAAAACTAGGGTTTTAGACAGACATGGCTAAAATCTGATCAAAACTAGTAAAAAGAAACATTAAACTACTAAATCTTACTAAATTAGTGATCCTTTTTTTTAGCCTCCAGATCTTCAGAAAGTGATGAAAAGTGCAGAAAATCGCCTTCCGAAGGGTTTTTCGTCGTCTGAGAGCGTCTCTGATCGTCTCTGCTTCAAACTGATAATAGAGGTCGAATTTATATACAAGCCAACAACTTACGGAACAAGAAAACAGAAAATTCGATTGAATTTTTAAGAAACACGATCAAAATTTTTAAGGCTCTGATCAGATTTTGGCATTAAACTAATTTTTGACGAATCTGAAACTTCAAACACCTAACACGATCAAATTTGTATGGAAAATTCAATTGAATTTTTGTGTTTTCTACTTTTTCACAAACATGAAAAGTGTCTGAAATTTTATCTAGTTTTTGGAACATCTTAAATCTCGTCAATAGAAGTTATGAGTCATGATATATGGTCAAACAACTGACAATGGGTCAAGCTGCCAACAACATCCTTTATAAGTTCCAAGCTCCATTTAGCTCCAATGCTCCATCAAACGCATCCAAATCTGCTCCCAAAGTACCGCTCCATTCGAATTATCTGAAAATAACATCAAAACATGTGTAGTATGAGAATTCTAACGAATGACATGAGCTAGACATTATTTAAGATAATGCACATGAAATAACATAAAATATGATACTAAATGCTAATAAAATCTACCCTAAAAGATGCATAAAATGATATCTATCACTACAACATAAAAACATCCTACACACAAAGACATATACTTCAGTATAAAGTGTAGTGAGAAAACTCACCTCGCAGTCTAGAAGATAACAACGCTGATCATAGATCCAAAAATCGCTACTATAGGTCACCTACACAACAAACATGGACCAAGTCTCAAACTACAATACAAAACCCTCAATTTGACCTAAAGTCACACTTGGTCAAAGGCAACGGTCAAAAGTTAACTCAGATGGCCGACACACTGTGGCCAATATCTTGCCACGTCGTGGCAACCTCATGACAAAACAGTCGCGAAAATGCATAATGCCATAACGTGGAGACCATCCTTCCACTTCATGGGAATCATTCATACCAACTTATTACATTAAGCTCTTAATACTTCAAGCTATCCATCCATACTTTGCAGAAGGCATTCTTACACCCAAATCATCATAAAAATCGTTGCTTTATAGACATGCATGTCCAATGCATGTCGTGAACTCAAACTAGGTCAAAATGGTGTATAATGAGGTTCAAATCTCATATAAGTAACCAAAACTCAACTCTCTAGATGTACAACACCAAACCCCAAAATGACCTCAATGATTCATAAAAGTTGCTAACTTTATGAGATCCATTCATCCAAACTTTCCCAATCATGAAAATACTAGTCCAATCATGAAAATACTAGCATAAAAGCCTACGTCTAGAAGTATAATGCATAAAGGTTGAGCTTGGATACTTACAATGGTCCAGAATAAGTGCACAAAGATGGTGAGGAGAGTTGCTTGTTGAATTAATGCCCAAGGACCACCTTCTTCTTCTTATTTAATACACCAAAAATCACCACAAAACTCACAAAGTTCAACAATGGAGGCTAGGGTTTCAATGAGGGAGGAAGAGAGGTGATGGAGGATGTGGTGTGAAAACCCTAGCCATTACATCCCTTAAATAGGGGCGCAAACCTTAAAAATTAGGATTTATCATTAGATGGCTGCCACGTCGTGACCATCATGCTGTCACGTCGTGACACCCACTTAACCTTCGCGCACCTTCTGGCCATGGCCACGTCATGGGATCTCATTCACAACGTTGTGGCCACCAAATCTAAAAACTTGAATAATAAAACTTTTAAAAGAAACATACAAGAAACTTTGTATTACAGTTACAATTAATGTTTTTCTTGTTTACTTTTGTGGATGCATGTGGAGTTTCATATTTTTGAACATAATATTTTTACCAACGAACATCATCAAGAATTAAACTAAATGTATTTTTTTTAAAAACATGGTTGTTGGTTAATTTAATGTATGTATTCAGTTGGATCTATGGTTTGGGAAGTGGTTTATGAGCCCTTGATCTCTGGTTTTGGCGTATAAATATTGGTTTTTCCTTATTATTTATATTATATATTTTCCTTTTTATTTGTTGTTTAGGGGTGAAATATTTATCGATTAAGTTGATTCCATCAAGTTTGGTTCCTAAGAGATTTTGCTTTTGAATTCCATCCGGTGAAGATAGTGGAAGTCACTAAAGGGCCAATAGTCTAGCGGTAATGAGTGACCCTCTAATATGAGAAGTCATGGGTTCTAGTTTCGGTATAGACATAGGTGGTTATTTATGAATATGTTAGTTAATTTACCGTTCCAAAGAAAAACTAAAGGTGAAAACAGTAAAAGTCATCGGAGCTTTGAAAAAGAATGGACATATATGGATAAGGGGTTAGGGATAAGGGTGAGTGGAGCTTTGAAAAAGAATGGGCATATATGGATAAGGGGTTAGGGATAAGGGTGAGTGTAGATCTGGTGACTTTTAATATCTAAATGATAGAAATCAGATAATAAATAAATAGTAAAATAATAAATTAATTAAAAAAAAAATAAAGATATAATAATAATTTCAAGTCTAGTAAGGATGGCACTCAAAACAAAACCAAATGATATGAACGGTTCAAACTAAAAAAAAAAAAAATTAAGAACCAAATACATAACTTTTTCCAAACAGACCATTTATGTAATTTACTATATATATAAAAAGAAAACATAAAAATACGCTGGGCGCCTGGGCCTATGTTTATTATTGGGCTTTAATAGCTCTTTTCTAATCTAAAGCCCAAAAGTTCTAAGGATTTGAAAATTAAAACTTGTCAATTTTCCGATTTCTGGTTTCTAAGTCGCAAATTTCCGCCATAGATACTGTCCACCAAGCTTGACGCTTGCTTCCTTCGCTTCAGAGTCTTACCTGTCTCTCCTTGATCGAATTTTACAGTGTTTGTGTGATCGAATTTCGAGATGAACGGCGAGGAGTTGACTGAGCAGGAAACCGCTTTGTATGATCGCCAAATTAGGGTTTGGGGCGTTGATGCGCAAAGAAGGTACGCACTTGATCATTATTCATCTTTCCTTTGTATTTTTCCTATCTTTAATTCCATAATATGACTATTTTTCATACAACTTTTGAACTGTAATTTGTTGGTTCGTTTCAGGCTCAGCAAATCTCATATATTTGTCAGTGGACTCAAAGGGACCGCCGTAGAGGTTAAGCTTTCTCCAACTCCTTACTTTTCTACACTCTTGTTTGCATATAACTAGTCGATTACTTATCAATATCTGGATAATTAGGGATTTCGTAATTAATTAAACACCATTTTTGCGTTTGTTAATAACTGCATTGAAGCCTAATACTCTGATATATCATCAAACTCTTTCTCCGAGACTCTACTTTCATAATCTAACATTAGATCAACCATTGGAAGCTGTTAGAAACTTAGATGAGAAATGATATTGTAATCATAACACAGAAAAATCTTCTTCAAATCGTGTTCTGTTTCAAATCTCATATACTCAACTTCACCATTGATTATAGATAGAGTTACCTACTTTTGAACTGGTGAATTTGAATCAAGTGATGACTTCCATAGTTCCATTATAGTCTGTTGTTATCTAAATGTTAATACAGTATACCACATGGTTTTCAATTCATCTGTGTTTATGAATGCAGTTCTGCAAGAACATTGTTCTGGCTGGTGTAGGAAGTTTGACATTGAATGATGATAATCCAGTCACAGCAGAAGCACTAGCTGCTAACTTTTTAATTCCCTTTGATGAAAACATGGGTGGTGGAGGTTCTCTTGCAGAGCTTTGCTGTGACTCACTGAAAGATTTCAATCCTATGGTTCATGTTTCTGTAGAAAAAGGTATCCCTTTTAGAGAAGATGATCCAATCCTTTAATCTGAATCTTATAATCTGTTTAACTTCGTTCTTACTAAGACCTCATAATGTTTCTTTTTCTACAGGTGATTTGTCAAGCTTTGATGTAGATTTCTTTGAAAAGTTTGATGTTGTGGTTATCAATTGCTGCTCACTTGCATCCAAAGTATATTCTCTTTCATATCAATTGATTTAATTCTATCTTATTTGAATCCATATAAACTAATATTTTTCTTATTCCTTGATACTACAGAAATCAGTGAATGAAAAATGCAGGAAGTTGTCAAAACGAGTTGCGTTTTACAGTGTGGATTGTAGAGATTCTTGTGGTGAAATATTTGTTGATTTGCAGAAGTATTGTTATGCCAAGGTGATAATTTTGATCCTTTAACTTCTTATTACTTAATAAAAACTCAAATGGTAATTAAAACACAAAGTCTCTTCACTCTTGTATGATTAATATTTTGATTTTTTCTTTTGTAGAAAAAGATTGACGAGACAGTTGAATGCCAGTTGCAGTATCCATCATTTGAGGTATATGACTTAATCATGTTTTAAAATATAATTTTGTTAGAATTATATTTAATGATTTAATTTTTAACCCAACCTTTTAACTTTAAGCTAAGTCATTCATTCCACCCAAACAGAATGAAACTTCTCACATGTGACACATATTTGCTTAACAAGATTTGGCAATTGTCAACAATCCAAACAAAAAAATAAAGAAATATTAAACTACTTAAAGAAAATATTGTTTTATTTTTTGTATCATTTAAGTACCTACTATCCACTTATAGACAAACATGCCCTTTTGCTTTTATACCCAACAAAGCTTGTTTTATTTTCTGTATTTGCGTTTCACATTATTACTTGAATCCTCAAATCAACTTTTACTTTGTCAAATATATAAAATAAAATTATTTATTTTATAGGAAGCCATTGCAATACCATGGAGATCTCTTCCTAAGCGTATGTCAAAGCTTTACTTCGCTATGAGAGGTACACCTTTAACACAATCTTAATACTCTAATTTATTTATTAATCAATTTCTTAATTAAATTTAACTTTTTTTTTTTTTAATTTTTTTACAGTGGTAGAAAGGTTTGAAGATGTGGAAAAGCGCAAACCTGGAGAAACTTCAATTGCTGACATGGCAAACGTGTTAAAACTCAGAAATGAACTTTGCCTTGCACATGTATAGATATAGATATATAAGCCAATCTAATTATTTATTTTATTTATTTAAATAAAATCAATCAAAATTATATAGTAACTTTTTTAATTTTATTACAGTCGCTAAATGAATCCCAGATTCCAGATTCTCTTCTAGAAAGATTGGTCGTGTCAACTAAAGAATTCCCTCCTGTTTCTGCTGTACTTGGGGGAATCCTTGGTCAGGTAAAATTAATTTAATCCAAATCTAATTATAATTTAATTTAATTTAACTTTTTACTATTTTTTTACTTATTTTAATTTAAATCAACAGGAAGTAATCAAAGCAATATCAGGAAAAGGCGACCCTTTAAAGAATTTCTTCTTTTTTGACGCTGTTGACGGAAAAGGCGTCATAGAAGATATTTCTACTTCTACCCCTTGAACTTTTACTTTCTTGTCAGGTAGATTCTGATTATTAACGAATTGAATGCCTGCATTTAATCTAGGAAAAGACTCTTGTATTTATATCTCATTAAAGTACTCCAAATAGATTGCTTTATAACATCGAAAATTACAAAAAAAAAAAAAGTATAAATTAGACCTCAATAGTTCAACAAATCCCGTCATCCAAACAGTTTCTAAAGAAACATTATTCCAACAATAATAATAATAATAACTAAAAATAGATCGATGATTCATTAGCAACCAAAAGATTACTTCTTTTTAGGAACTGCATCTGTTGTTGTTGTTGCTGTTGCTGTTGCATCAGTGGATGGATTAAGCTCATTCCAAGCTTCAATCCATGTCACCATTTCGCCTGCAAGCTTCTCAAAGTAAGGATCAACAGGTGAAAGCTTCTCCTTCACAAGCTTCGAAAGCTCCAAATAACATTTCTGTGGAGTTGTACACTCTTTAGGCAAAACAACAGATTGAAAAAACGGAATAATCTCTTCTTGCCAATAAATCCCCTTGTATTCCTTCTTCAAGTTAACAAAAGGATTACTCGCTTTACTATGCCAGATATAAGGTAATCCAGTTTTCACTCCGAGCCCTAAATGATCACAAATCACCTTCGCACACCACCCCGCCCACATATCGTCGTACCTCCCAATCGGCTGACCATCGCCCATGAGTCCGAAGTACATCGCCGGTCCGATGAGATCACGGTGGAACCCTAGGTTCATTCCGCACATCGGGAACAGAGTTCCTTTAGGGATGGTTAACACAGCGTCGACGTACCTGGTGTTACGCTCGCGTGGCTTCACGAGCTGAGTTGGCGCGTCGTAGTCGGGGATGTTGAGCCAGAGTCCATGGGAGATCGCGGTGGTTACGCCTTCACGTAAACTGAACGGGTATCCCCTCACGAAATCTGCACCTTCTCTGTATGGATCGTACAATGTGTTGAAGAAGAACGGCGTTGATGGCGATAACAGGTTGTGAATGTGCTGTGCTAATGCGTTGATCTCTTGCCCCGATGGATCCTTCGCAACCTTCATCAATCAACACACACGTGTCAGAGTATTATTATACAGAATTGAATTAGTGTTAGATTGAGAGTTGAGAGTTAACAGAGTTGAGAGTTGGATCTTACGAAGCAGTCGTCGTCAATGGTGAAGATGTATTTCTTCTTGGAGACGAGAAATCCGAAGCAGCGACAAGCGGAATCCTTGAAGGAAATGCAACTGGCTTTCGGACCTAAGATCCGATTGATGTCGTTTCGGTTGTAGAGCTCGTAATCGAAGCCTTCTGGAACGTGGATTTTTTTGGTCGGATCTCCGTCTTGAACGATGATCAAATGGTAAGGCTGGAAGAAGGATCTCCACTGTTCCAGAAAGTCGAGGTTCCTGATCGTCGGAATGACGATGTCGAGTTCATCAGTCAACGGTGGTACCACGGTGGTCGCCGGCACAGACATCGCGAAGACTTCCCGGAATCAAACACTGAGAGAGAAAGAGAAAGATAGAGGGAAAGACGTGGAGGGAGTTGTGGGGTTTTGGTGGAAGTCAGAGGAGATTATTTATAAAAGGAGAAAGAAGAAAGGAAGGGGTGAGTGTGAGTGGTGTCACATGGGGGAGGGGGGTTAGCCACGTTAAGAAGAAGGGTGAAAGGTGTTTATCTCTCTTCTTTTATTCTTTTTATAAATATTTTACTCATGATAATAATAATAATAATTAAACCAGCTGTCAAATAAATATATATAGAGAGATAAAAGAGCAGTTGAGAATGAGATGAATGTGTTTGTTAAGCATATTCAAATTTAGATTCCATGATAATTTGTTAAATGTATATCATAAAATAGGAAATAATTATATGATAAGTAAGTAGTTTTGAGTTATGAGTGACATAAATGGGTGTGAATTTCGAGAAGTAAATGGCGTAAGGGTCACGAAATAAATAGATTAATTTTACTTTGCTTTGGTTAGTACAAAATTTATAACATGGGACATGTGAGAAATAAATATAAAGGTGCGTCTCTGTAACACTGAATCTCGTTATGCAACGTTAAGTTAGGCCGACTTTTGTTACGTGAATTCAGGTTAGAAAAGTAAGAATAAAATAAAAAGAATAAGTGTAAATAATAGTTTTGAGTATGTAGAGAAGATTTCGTGCCATTAAATTCTTAACCTTAGCACTCTCGTGATTGGATTTTTACCTCGAAATGCTCGAGTCACATAAGTATTTGGAGGTGAAATACGCATGTAATGTTACATAACAGTAATGATAACTAATTTCCTAAAATAATTAATTGTTTGTTCTAAAATACTTTTCTTGAGTAATATATGTTTATTCGTGACATTTTTTTTTTCAAATAAAAGGGGACATGCTACAGTGTTAAGATTTTAATGGGATGTGTCGGTAGTCGTACTAGAGAAAAATGGAACCAAAATTTATTGTCCTTGGAAATCGTGTATAACAAATGTTTGAGTTTGTTTAAAAAATACAAACATTTAAAATCCTTTTTTATCTTTACAGTACTTATAACAATATATTATCTAGATTGATTTTAATTATTTTAGTTCACATTATGTAAAAAAACCCACATTTATATTTAGTAACAAATCAAAATTGCTTTAGTACAATAGTAGGTATTAGCTGTATTGTTTAAGCCCACGCTTTTCTTGCATTTGAGGCCCAATAGACAATAATGACGAAAAGTTGCCAAATTTGGGTTTGTGCAACAAATACGAGTGATATTTGTCTATTAAAAACATTATCAGTGGTTTGTTTCTGTTTAAGGGCCCATATTTTAGAGATGTTAAATTGGGTCAGGAGTTGAAAGCCAAATTTTATTTTAGCCTTGACCTGTTAAAATGGCGCAAATCCAATCACCTAGCACCAAAAGAGGAAGCGGCTACTTGAGAGTTGAGAGTTGAGAGTTGAGAGTTTGAAGCGTCCGTTAAGATTTCTCAGAATCAAATCATCAATCTTTAACAGTCATCGATTGTTCATTATCTCAATACTCAAGATTTTTGATTTATCGATTAAACGTCTCTAGTAATCTAATTTCTTGTTAGTTTCAACAGTTTTAACTGTAAGGGTAGAATCGTCCTTTTTACTGTAGCAAGGGCATATATGTAATTTTGATCATTTGGTTGTTATGAAAGTAGTTAGTTAGATGATTACTAGTTATGTAATAAGTATTGTACTGATTCAGATGTATGAACGAATTCAGAAATGAGAAAAATATTGATTTCTCTCAATCCTCTCTCAATCTAACATGGTATCAGTCTGATCCTTCTTTTTTCTTCCGCTGATTTCATTGTTCTTCATCCAAATTGTTTCAATTTCCTTTGTTTCAATGACTTCATCATCATCGATTCCTTCTCAATCGTCGAATATTGACATCACAAGTCCTTATTATCTTATATCTTCTAATAATCCGAGTCAAGTTCTTGTTACTACTGTCTTTAATGGCGTCGGTTTTTCTGCCTGGAAGAGATCGATGATTATCTCTCTTTCAGCTAAGAACAAATTGTCATTTGTCGATGGCACGATTACTGCACCACCTGTCAATTCTCCAACTTATTTTGGATGACATCGTGTCAATTCAATGGTAATTAGCTGTATTCTCAATTCCTTACATAAGAACATCGCTGAAAGCGTTCTTTTCTTACCAACTGCACACGAGATTTGGCAAGAATTAAAACAGAGGTATGATCAGTCTAATAACGCATTGATCTATAAAATTCAACAACAACTTTATTTTGTTGCTCAAAATTCGGATGACTTTTCCACTTATTTCACGAAATTGACTAAGATCTGGGATGAATTACGTGTCGTTCAAGACATTCCTTCTTGTACTTGTGGCTCTGCTGCTAAAATACAGAAATTCCTTGAAGATCAACGCCTAATTAAGCTTCTCATGGGACTTAATGAATCATACAAGATCATTCGAGGACAAATCCTGATGATGCAGCCTTTGTCATCTCTTTCTACTGCATATTCCTTGATCATTCAAGAAGAACGTCAACGCAATATTACTGCTTCATCTTTTGTCAATACTAAGGCTATTGCTATGCATGTGTATTCTGATTCATCCCCAAATTCAGTCAAGAAAACTCTAACATGCACTCATTTTAAAAAGACTGGTCATAGCAAGAGTCAATGTTACCGATTAGTTGGTTTTCCTTCCAACTTCAAGTTTACTAAAGCAAAGAAAGAAGAATCCAAGTCCAGTGTTCATAATGCTACTTCTTTTCCATTTACTTCAGAGCAATATCAACAGTTACTTCAATTGCTCAACAATAATACTTCTCAACCTTCAACAAGCCATGTCAACGCCTCTATTGCTGATAATGCCATGAATCCAGAGGGTAACTCTTTTTCATTCAAATCCTTTGTTGCAAATGTTTACAAGAGTCAATCTAGTTTTGTATTTTTTTTAATTGAGTGGGTTGAGTGGGTTAAAAAAGATAGGATTTCCGTGTGTTGTGGGTTCGGAAAGATGAAGAAAAATAAAAGAGAAAAAGTGATGTGGCAGTGGCTTCGGTGGGTTGGGAGGGAACGACTCCCTCCTCCCTTAGAGATGTTATATTGGGTTAGGAGTTGAAAGCCAAATTCTTTTTAGCCTTGACCTGTTAAATGGCCCAAATCCAATCACCAATCATTGATTGTTCATTATCTCAATACTCAAGATTTATGATTTATCGATTAAACATCTCTACTAATCTAAATTCTTTCTCACTTTCTCGATTAAACTTAACTACTAATCTGATTTTTCTTAAATGCCTATGATGATTTGATATCTTTCTCAATCACCAGTCATTGATTGTTCATTATCTCAATACTCAAGATATCTTTCTCAATCAGTCATTGATTGTTCATTATCTCAATACTCAAAATATCTTTCTCAATCTTACCTGCTCATTGTCAAGGTAGGTGGAGACAATCATGCCTTCACAGCTTAGAATGAGTGTGTTATATAGATAATCTCCCATATGTTTAAACGATAACATGTAAATGAGACAAACAAGACGAAAGTAAAACAAAGTGTACAACAACACATAAAAATAGATAAATTATAATACAAACATAAGCATCAACAAGACATAAAAATGTGTCGGCAAACTCAAAGATTTTTTTAATAAATCAAACTTAAGAATAATCGTAAATTCTCAAAGTATAATCTCTTGATAACATGACAAAACTTTCGAAATATTAATTGTTTTGTTCCACTTTAAATAGTTTTTGTATTTTAACGGAGTTAATTGCAGAGATCCGCTGCCGCATATTTAGATTCGGCTGGTCCATCAAATACCTCAAACTTTTGTGGTAAGTGTAGATAGTGCATTGAACCCTGTACAAATAGTGTCTTCAAATCTTGAGGGCAAAAATCACGGCCCCCAACTCTAAATCATGCGTAGGGTAGTTTGCCTCATGATGCTTCAATTGCCTCGAGGCGTAAGCAATCATGTGACCCCTCTGCATAAGAACCGCTCCCAAACCCGAAATAGAGGCATCACAATAAACCATGAAATCATCCAAGCCCTCGGGGAGCGCGAGAATCGGGGCCTCACATAATCTCTGTCTTAGGGTCTCAAAAGTCAACTGCTGGTCAGGCCCCCATCGAAAGGTCTTGTTCTTCTTTGTTAAACGAGTCAATGACACTGCAATATTGGAGAAATCCTGGATAAATCTTCGATAATACCATGCGAGACCTAAGAAACTACGAATCTCAGATGCGGTCCTCGGAACCTCCCACCACATCATAGCCTCGATCTTGGTCGGCCGACCAATATCCTCTTCTGGTTGACGATGTGCCGCAAAAATTACACCTCGCGCAACCAGAACTCACACTTGGAGAGCTTGGCGTAAAGCCTTTCCCTCCTTAGGGTCTCCAACACATCTCGTAGATGATCCTCATGCTGCTCCTTGGTCTTGGAGTAGACTAGAATATCATCAATGAATACAATCACAGACCGATCCAACATCGACCTACAAACTCGGTTCATGAGGTCCATGAATGCTGTTGGCGCGTTGGTGAGCTCAAATGACATCACCATGAACTCGTAATGACCATAGTGAGTTCTGAAGGCCGTCTTCTGAACATCATCATCCCTGACCCTCATCTGATGGTACCCTGATCGCAAATCAATCTTGGAAATGGAAGATGCGCCCCGAAGCTGATCAAACAAGTCGTTAATCCTTAGAAGTAGGTAACGGTTCTTCACTGTTAGCTTATTCAAGTCCCGGTAATCGATGCATATTCTGTGCAAACCGTCTTTCTTCTTCAGAAATAGAATCGGTGCTCCCTGCGGAGAACTGCGCGGACGAATAAAACCCTTGTCTAACAGCTCCTGAAGCTGCGTAGACAACTCTTGTATCTTAGATGGCGCCAGGCGATAAGGTGCCTTGGCTATTGGAGTCGCACCAGGTACCAGATCAATCCGAAACTTAACTTGCCTCTCGGGAGGCACCCCTGGTAAATCCTCAGGAAACATATCGGGGAAGTCCCGAACGATGGGTACCCCACTAAAATCTGTCGTCTCCTCAACCCGAATGTCCGCAACATAAGCTATATACCCAGAAACAACCCTGCTGCAAATATC